AGGAAAAACTCCCTAATCCTGTTATAAAGGAAAATAATTTACTTTGAAATTCAAATAAAACGGATCGTCTGTTATCTCACTGAGATTCTCTCCCTTGGTGCTCACCGAAGCAAATTGGGTTACAGGATTTAGTGGAAGTCCTTCTGAAAGAATGTATTGTAACTTGAAATATTTACTTAAAGAACTGATCTATATTTAACTGCTTGAATACCCACGATACCTTATATATTAATTTTGTTTTTCATTAGTGTATTTGAAAAGAAAGCTTTACATGCACATAACTCTAAAGATATACATCTTATCAGGATATTTATATATATATCCACTCATATTTTGGTTTATGTTTTCAATAATGAACCTTTGTAATCGAACAAGAATTCATATTAAAACGGACCAGTTAGTATTATGTTTTAATATTTTGCAACAAGTCCATTCAAATTTTCTATTATTTTTTTTTCTTACCAATTCATAATAAATTGTTCTTTTACGATATCGAATTCGATGCGTTCTAAGTTTATGTTGCTTTATATTTATAGTGTCTCAATTATAATAATTATTTTACCATTTGTTATTTCTGAATGGATTAAATTTTAAAAAAAACAAAACTGAAGTGTGCTTTAGACCACACGTCAAAAGTGAAAACATCAACAAGATGAAATTAATAATATGAAATATAAATTATAAATAATAGCTCATTACAGAGAGGATAAAATGTTGAAACCATGTACTCTCGCTTACATTATGCAGTTCCGATTTTTAGATTATTTTGTATTCGACACTATTTTTTCCCTTTTCACCTTTCTGACATAGAGTCGCGTAAGGTAAATTTTTGGATAATAGCTCATTACAAAGAGGATGAAATTATGAATATTTCCCTCTCTCGCAATCTGCAGCCGACTTTACCGGAGCGTCACACGTCGGAAATCTGACGGCTCAATCGAATTCACTCTCTACAAAAATGTGCAAAACGCAAATGGAAATAAGAATTTTTTAATTCAAAAAATAAATAAAATTCGAAAAAAAGTGACATAAATAAAAAAATGTTTTGTATTTGAAAAAAAAAATCTATTTTTAGGGGATTGGGAAATAGCTGTGGGAAGATTGTCAATGATTTTTTACCATTGCATCACTCTTCTACTTCCTTATTCGGAATCATACTTTCAAGTGGGAAGAAAAAGAAAACTTCAACGGAAGATCAGAGCACTTAAAATACACCCTAAATGGCGCAGTTAAGAAGTCCTATAAAAGATTGTCCTTAAAGGAGCTGGAAGACTAAGACGGCTGCTAACCGAGGCATAATTCAAAGGTTTACAGCCTATCCTATCCTCTCCTCGACTTATTACATATTAATACGTCACTGGGGTTCATAACGTGCCTCTGACTGGCATCGTTAACAATTCATTTGCCTCTTCGTAAAACCTTTTATGACGTACGATTCCTTTCTGGCGTCACCCCATTTCGCCTTGGAGTCCTTACTTATGGCGCTGCACTCTCATTTATGTAACTGCCATGAGTACTCGAGTGACAGATATTGGAGGATTTATTGTATTGTAATAATTAAGTGTAACACATCCACATGTTCTAGACTCAAGTTAGTTTCTATACTAAGGATTACTCTGCCATTTTTTTCTATTAAATTAATCGAAGAATATAGAACATTTCTGTGCAAGTAGTGGATGTAAAATCCACTTCTTAATAGGTTTGGTAGGGTCTAGGAAGAAAGAACGATTTAAAATACTACTAAACAAAATGCAGTATGCAAAGGGTTAATCTTCAAAACTACAAGATGTATGTCTGTAATATTTTAATCGTAGCACCTCACAAGGTTTAAATATCTTTATTTAATATTTATGTTTATATGTTTATTGCATTAAATAAATATTTTTTCAGTCATAAAATTTGTTAACTACCTTTCTTAACTACCTCAAGTTCATAAGAAATTATGAATTTTTTTGTCAACCTTTTTTTTTTTTAATTTAGGATATGAATTATACAAATTTTGGGTCTCTAAAAGTGATTTTTACGGTAAATATTATTGTCATATATCGCGTACATAGAACATTAAGGGTATAACGACTTGAACATTTTAACAATAAAATTTTAAGGTGCGTTTAGACATGTCACAAACTATGGAAAAACACAAATATTTAAATGAATATTTTACCTGTGCTAATGGTTTTATTTCTTGTTTTTGATATTTCTCATCTGCTGCCGGTAGCAAGAGAAATAGAAAAAAGAATTTGAGCTTAGTGTTGATTTCGATATTAAGTTAGATAATTGTAATTTCCATAATTTGTGAAATGTCTAAGGGCGCCTTTCCAGTCAAGACATTTTTTTTTTTTTTTAATTGTAACACGTTTATTGCTTAAAAATACAATCGGTTACTGAAGGGTAACTAGTGTTATAACTGCAACACTAACAGGGGATATAAGTGTTCATTCATGCATTATGTAAATTCATACGAAATGGAAATAATTTAAATAATTAAACAAAAAATAAAAAAATATTAAATTAAATCAAAAATAATAATAATAAATAGCCGATGGGGAAAAAATAGATTAAAGTCCTTGACGAATACACTAAATTCCATTTCTCAACACAGTATAATCGCGATCGACTCGTTTTATCAATTACCTTTTTCCTGTTACTTGATCGATGCAGACTGAAAAGAAAATGCCTCAGAGATCTGCTGTAAATAGCTATATCTAAACTATTATCTCCGGCTCATGGCATACAAATTATTTATTATATTTCATTAGCCGTGAGGCGACCTTGAGTAGGTAGACCCTCGTGGGGCACATCCAGCCCCTATAAAGTGGCCACCCTTAATTAAAATAATTAATTAAAGGAAAAAACCTAGCGATTGATCGTCATCTCGGTCAAATCACCTCCTTGACCAAAAAACCGTGGTTTCCCGAAATGGTACTGAACCCAAGACCCTTCATGCATGGGTTATAGTTTTAGAGGTTATTTTATTTTTTTTTAAAGCTATTATCTAGCAAAATCAAACTGAACATTTATATCAAATTTCCTATTTTCCCTACTGCGCTGCTGCAAATGGCATAAACGAATAAAATAAATACAAATTTATATTTATTTATAAAGGTGTTAGGTTTTTTTCAGAGTTTATAACGATATTTAAAATTGTAAAAATAGTCGGAGTTTTATGATAATTATTAACAATACGAAGATCCATTGGATGAGAAAGTAAGAGGGTTTAGTCGAAAAAGATCTCGAGGGATATAAACTGAAGGAGGAGGATACTTTCGAATTCAGGTCACGCTGCGGGACGAGATAAAGGAGCTTTCAAAAGCAGAAGCTGGTACTGCTGGTGAGGAACTGTGGTCCAGGACCACTCCGAGGGTCCTAAGTGGATAAAGAGCTAGCGAGGGTCAAGTGGAAGGTCTTTGTCTCCGAGAGAAATCACTCTCCTTCTTTTGGTCTTTCGGCTCGGCGGTCGTTCCTTGCGGCGACGTTCCGGGCGAGCGATATCGTAGGCGTGATCGGAATATCCTTGTCGGGATATCGGTGGTTTCTTTATCGGTGAAATAAATCCAGTAAGGTTTGGAAAATGTTTCCGAAAATATATTACCTTTTCCACGGTGGTTTGGAAATCTTTCATTTATAACCAAAAAAAAGTTTGTCTTTTTTTTTTAACTTTTGTTCTTATTACTGATTTTATCATAAGTAAATACTAGTTGGCCCGTGCGAAAAAATCGTAGACAATTTTGTTTAGTGAAGAAATAGCAAAACAATATGGAAATAATTAGTGCCTATGTATTATGTAAGGAAGAAATTGATATTTTTTCCTTTGTCAATTACAATATTCCGTTGAACATAATAGACCAAAATATTTATACAAATTGCTTGCTAAGAACTATTTTTAAACGTTGACTGGAAAGATAATAAAAATAATAAAGACAAAATAATGCCCCGATCATAGGATATTCTAAATTATTACAAAAAAAAAAAAAATGTAAGGATAACCAAATGTCATTAAAAAAGAATAAAGTTACTATATCAGCCAGAAAAAAAAATGTAGTAGACTATTCTACTCCTAAATGCAATATCTTTAATGACGAAGACATTATTAAGTATACCAAACTAATGGACTGTATCCTTATTAATAATTGTCCGATTTTTGTTTTTGTTTTGTAAGTAATTTAGTAATCTTTCTAATTATCATGGGCATAATCCAGAAAAAAATCTGGGTGATGGAACTATTTTTCGCATGTGGAGGAGAAGAATATCTTCAAAATGAGTGGTCAATCATTGGATTTGATAAAGAATTGACGAAGTTATGGCGTACTGACAAAAAAAAAACACCTTTTAGAAATAATATATAGGCATTACTAAATGTAAATTTTTTTTTAATATTGTTACTAATTACCTTACACGAAATAAAAATAAAATATTTTTAATAATAATTATTTTACAATATTATACATAAAATCATCAAAATGTTACATAAGAAAAAAAATCAATATTAAAAAAATACAAAGTGAAAAGATATAATAATAAGAAAAAAAATACAAACAATTATACATATATAAAAAATCAAATAAAAAATATATAATTTTTTTCTTTCGTTATTATTTCTTATCACTTTGTATTTTTTTTTAATTAATATTTTTGATTTTTCTTATGTAACATACATATGATTTTTTATTACATACTAAATAACTTTTATCAGACGTTCGTTTCCCTGATCAGCTGTTTGATTGTAACCTTCCCTTACTATATTACCTTACCTTCCTTCCAGTATGCGATTGGGTGTCATGGAGGGATGTTCGATTAGCGAACGTTGACGGTTTTTTTTTTTTTTTTCCTGCATTTTATAGACATACGGTTGTGGAGTTCGGAATTTCCAATTATAACCTAACATTTATGTCCTGTCTCTTGGTTAGTTTATTACTAACTTATATTAATATTACTATATATCCTCAAATATTAGATTATTAAAATAAATTTTATTTTATAGAGGGAATCGCTGGCCAAAGATGTGGAGTACGAGCGGGGAGTTAGGCAGACAGTGGAGTGCAAGCTGGAAGAAGCAACGCTCGAAGCTGACTATTCGAAGAGAAGGGTGCAATCCTTGCAAGAAACCTGTCACAGGTCAGTTCTATTTTCATATTATGATATTATTATAATACATACATCTATCCTTTATAAAATTATATTTCTATTTAGATTTTTATTAGTGACAATTATAGAACTTATTGGCTATTAACCGCAGTTTCATTTACATTAAATTATTTGGAGTATAACATGTATTATGAGTATATCTAATCCACGTTATGACTTCATCACCAAGTATATGTGATGAATATACGAAATTTATAGTTAAAGATAGCTGATGTTACTGTAAGAAAATAACTGTTAAAAATAAGGGCGTCGTTTTGTCTCAGTTATTCGGAGGAATCATGATATACCGTGAAAATTCTTTTAGCGGACACTTCTTTATTTTAGAATATTTATATATTTAGCGAACAATTTCATTTGTTGAAATTATGAAAAAAAAAATTATGGTATCAACGTTTTCAGAATATAGGTCGCTCTATATAACGAACGCGTACGGGCTTGATGCAAGTAGTTTGATTGAAATGTTTCTCTATAATGGACAGCCGGAAACCATTATCCTATTCTGAACTATTTACTTTAGCTAATATTCACTGAAATTTTTGAACTTCCACAAACACAAATAAACTCTGAGTTAGCAAAATACTAACTAACGGATGTTGGGGGAAGATGTTACCTTACTGGTGTTTTTGAGAGAAATTTGGTTTTTAATTTAGTTTCAACGACTTATATTTTGATAATAAAGAATAAGAAACAATAAAAAAAACAACGAGCAGAAATATCGAACAGTACCAACGCTTAAGGACCAGTTGTACAATTGGGGTCAAGTTTGAACTAAAGCCAATCATTCATGATTTCCATGGTTTATTGTAGTTCAAGCTTGAACTGTAATTGTACAACTGGACGTAAGAGGTGCTTTCCGCAAACTCTAATATCTTGACGAACTAATCACAAATTTCGGGAAACATGCGCGAGTCAAGTACAACTATACTTTTGCACTCGTATAGTAAGTACACTGGCGTGCACTTATTGATTTCCATATTTTTTTAACTTGGCTTAGTATAAATTGATCATAAAAAAAGAATATCACACCCCTACTATCATAATAATATGCTTATTTATTTTTATGAACTTGTTAATCTTGTTTTTTAATATTTTAAGCTCATACGTGACCATTAAAAATATTTTTGGGTACAAATGGAGCCATTTCAAACATTGAGGGATTTAAATTAGGGCAAAGTAGCAGATTATTAATTTTCAGTCTGGTCATTCAATCTTTATGGGCTTTAATTGTGGAGTAAATATTTATATACCATAATTTCTGCGTTGTTTTATTATAAACTCTATCATTGATGATAGGTCTGTAGATAATTTTACATAGTATTAAAGAAATTTAATTTGTTCTTTTATTTTAATAACCTCTATAATACAACTATCACTGAACACCGAAGTTCCCTTCAGAAGTATTTTAAAGAGCCGAACACTCCTCTAGAAAATGTAACCAATTTGCTTTTCCAATCTGTTTGGCAGTTTTGAAAATTGGCACCCGCCCAACGACAGCCATTCAAATAAGTTTCGTTGAATGGAGCACCCCTGTCGATGAAACTGGGCGATGGAGCTGTTAGTGCTTTTATAACCTGTTATCGTTCTAATGGCCGTTTTATATTTGGTCACTGTTATTGGAAGTAATGTCCTGGAGGAGGAGAGTACCATTCCGAAGCGTGTCCGATAACAAGTCTTTACGTCTAAAAGTGAACAAAATAAAAATAATTTTTAAAACAGTTCGTATAGGTTTTAGATCTGCTCCGATTTTTTTATTATAAGTTACTATAATTAAAGTCTATATAATTAAATTACTACTTTAATTCAAGTCTCTGTCTAATCGCTATAATAAATGATACAGCTATAGTTGTGTACAGCACAACACGTATACACCATTTGCTTAATCTAGTTGCGTTTTTCGAAAACTGATACTAAACTCGTTTAAAATAAAAATTAGAAGGTATACAGATACTTGTACAATAAAATTTCGATTATTTATAACCCTCTCTCTCCCTTATCTTTCGATAATATGGTATTCCACTTTATTGTATAGAACAAGAAAATTTTAAGTCTTTTCCTATTATTTATTAAGTCTATTTCTATCTTAGAATTAACCCAGATTAAAATTGTGGAAATCTCCTTCGCCTTACTCCCATATTAAAATGGGCTGCGCCTATCGTTTCTTTCAACCCATACACAAATGCCTCGTAGTATGAGTAGTTAACTGTAGAGGACGAGTAGAGGTAAACCTGTTCGTTGAGGTTGTGGATACTTGTGTTCTCATTAGCTTGGCCTTTAGTGCCTCAAACACAGTGCATTTATTTAGGTTTATAATAAAATTCAAATGACTGCTATTTAGGTTAAGGATGTTTTTATTTGTATTTCTGTTATTATATTGCCGTTCCGTCTATTCGCTTAACCTAACCATCACGTCCTTGATACTGTTTATCAAAGTTTCGATGTATAAACAAAATAATCGTTTAGACGTTCCAAAAAAAACAAAGAAAGAAGGGTTTTTCGTACTGAAATAACAGTCGCTATCACATGTGGTAATTATTCTTTCAGTAACTATTTATTAGTTCGAGAGTTTGAAGAAGGTAATTCAAATAGTTGTGGATTGATGGTTGACTGTAGTGAATAATTGAAGAGAAGAAAGGTTGAGATGATCAGTCAAAAAATAAATAGTAAAAATAAATAAGTATTAAATTATTTATTAAATATCATATAATATAATGTATACATATAATATAATAATATGAATATCATAAAATAAATATTTTTTTTGTCTGATGACCCCAATCATTCTTCTCTTCAATTATTCACTAGGCAAAAATAAAAATAAATAAACTTATTTATTTTTACTTTTTTTTTTATTTAACTGATCACTCCAACCATTTTTCTCTTCAAATAATTCAAATAATATACTTAATTTAATTTTATATATATATATATATATATATATATATATATATATATATATATATATATATATATACATATATATAATTAAATGCTTTAATCTCTGAACTTAACTTTTCATAGATTATAAATTTTAAGTGATCATTCGACTCACTAACAATAAGCAATTCGAATTCAGACATGTACCAATCCGGATAGGGTCATTATATATATATATATATATATATATTAGCTCAGCACCGCCGAGTGACCTCTCCAACTCTTGAGATTTTAGGAAGTAATGAGATGGTGACCTTATCCGGATTGGTACATGCCTGAATTCGAATTGCTTATTTTCAGTGAGTCCGACGATCCCTTAAAATTTAAAATCAATGAAAAGTTAAGTTAGGAGATCAAAGCAATCATCAGAGCCATGTAAACTAGATTATAAATTCCTGGTAGTCAGTCCTTTGGGATCAGAAGATGGATCCCCGGTACTTTCGATAATAGCAACGTGTGAGGGTATGTTTTGGGGAATATTCCCCATCAAATCCCTCAGCAATTGCTCCCCCTGCAGTAGTATATTAGGACTACACCCAACATCGGTTCTTTACGATCTTGTCGACCACGACAGCATCGTGGCTTTCATATCATTTCGCCTTGTCCTCGCTATCGTAACTCTTCCGCTTAGTTACAGCGATGGCTTGGGGAGAATCGATATTGTGCGGTTTTACAGGAGTCGATCACAGAATGAATATATTTTCCTTTACAATGTGTCAAGAAAAGACTATCTTCACTCGAATTCTAAGTCTTAATAAATTGAGTGTAAGGAATTTTAGTGGTGTATTGTAAAATTACCGACTCATGACAACCAACTATCACGTACTTTTCTCTCGATTCCAAAGTAAACTACACACGGACACTACAATAGATTTATAAATGAAATGGACTCGGTTGACACGATCATCAAGAGGCGACTTAAAAGAAACTGAGAGATCATATTACTTGAATTTAAAAACCCAACGGATACTACCTTTCCTCATACCTAAAATGGTATTTTCCTAATTGAACACGTCTGCTTCACATGTACGACATGTTCAGATTAAAATCTAAAGAGAAAAAAAATATCCTTATTAAAATTAATAAGAATGTTTTCAGTTTTGACAAAACATCAAGAGTTGAGTGACTGATGAAATAATTCGAGGATTTAGATTATACTGTAGTATTGTTAGTTCAGACTTAAAATAGTTTACTGCTAATATAAACCAAAATGATTTATCATGACAAAATGAATTTTTTTTTTTTTATTAAATGTATTTATCTCAAATTTTAACATGTTGTGATATTTAAAGAGACAGGAAGGTAACACAAAAACAGGATTTTAGTTTAGAATAAACAGACAAGGGGTATAAATTATAATTAAACGTAGCTCAGTTAACGAGATCACTAACTAGATTAGTTAACTAGATCTGTAGATCAGATTTATAACACGTGGTATTTTCTTATTGTCGGAAGATGTTAGGAAAGAAGTGGAATTTGATGATAATATATATAAAAAGAGGAAGAGAATACTTATGACTATAGAAGGAAAAGTGAAACTTTTCTCATCATATATGTATGCTTTCCATTGTGGGAATGTTCGATAGTTTGCCAAGAAAACCTTGGGTTTACTAAACTTCTATTTGAATAACGTGTATGTGTTCTATATAACTCGGACAATCTGTTAACTCTACATATAGAGCTGTGGAGGGAGTGATTTATGCTTTCATTTCAATTAAAAACGTTTGCTCTTGGCATCTGTGAAATTCTACGTTAATTATGTTATGTGTAAGCTCATTTATCATCACATCAAGCTTTGAAGTTGTATGCTTTAAACTTTGTTTATGATTTAACATGAAATAAGTCGATTATAATTACTGTTCATTTAGGATCAATGGAGTCAAAATACATTATTGATTGGGACTTACGGTATTTATCGTGTTACTAATATATGTTTCAACTCACTTTGCAGTAGTTCATAAGGTCTAAATAAACAAAATGTCTGACAATGAAATGAGAAATCATTTGTCGTAATTATTAAAAATAACACTCTTAGATGTGATATATCATACAATGATTTTTTTTTAATATATTGGAGAGAAAGAGAAATACTTATCTTTTCTTTTTTAACTTTTACTTTTTTTATCCACACTTTCTACTCAGCCTACGACAGTAAGCAGTGTTATGTTATTTGATAAAATTGGCATGTCAGGCACGTGGGAAGAAACACTTAATTATTTTCTTTTATTTTTATTTCGTCCACCCCTACCTTGCCTTTAAGACTATACGGGGGTTTGCCTGTGTCAGGGGGAGAGATCTGGAGAATACTGCGGAGTTCTCCCTTCCCACCGGGACTCGAATTTATAGTTGTTTTGTATCTAAGGAACTTCGGTTTATCAATCATCTGGTTGCCGGGCAACGCGTGTTTTACACGCGTTACACTTAGCACTTAATTATCATAAAATATAACACTCATTTACTATCATAAAATAAATAAATAAATTTTACTACTCTTCCAAAATCATGAAGTTTCTAAAGCTGGCCTAAGAGAAATAATTCTAGGAAGGAGGCCATTTTTCCATTTAGAAGAAGGTGTCCGGAATTTTTCTCAGCTCTCATTCTTGGCTTTATCTCGCCTTCGGTATTCATGAAGGTCCTTGCCCTTAAGGGAAGCATATCAAAAATATATTATTAATTTTCGTGCTACGCAAAATATGTTATTAGATTATATATTATTACATATACATGAAATCTATGTATTCCAAAATTTCTTCTCATACCATTTTATCTTTATTAATATATGTATCTAATGACATCTGATGTATTGAAATGGAGTATCGGTATGTTTATTGAGTTCAGACTGTCAGTAATTCTATTTCAATCGATATGATTTATTTTAAAAAAATAAACAGAATCATAGTGGTTTTAATGAATCCGTACCTAAAGTAGAATTATTCGTATAATCGATATGGAATTAATATCATAATATTTATTTTTTATTGTATTTAATTACTTTATAATTTAAATATTTGTATTTGTTGTAAGTATAATAACGCTGATTCTAACAATTTTACTGCCTGGTACAGCTTGATCAGTTCCCCTCAAAGGATAGGGCTCCTCAAAGCGCCCAATTGACCTCCTATCCCAACCAACTTAGCATGACAGTCCCCAATTACTGAAGCTAGGGTCTGCCCTATATATTGAGCCTCTCTCCAATTAACATTGCCTCTCTAGCGGCTTTAAGGCGATAGCTCTGCTAAATACCGATACCATAATTAGTTTAAATTGTTAAATTGATACTTTAGACTTCTAGATGGCTTTCGATTAAGTCATGCCATTGTGAGTTATTCAAGAACTTCTCTTCTACTTGGATCCTACTTAGTAAAACCTTTTTTTTTTTTACTTCTCTACCGCTGGTATGTTAGGAAAGTACGTAATCTTTTAAAAAAATTTTTCCTTGCAGAGCTAGAGTACGAAAAACACAGTTTTAGCAATTGGTCTGTCTGTCTGTTACGATTATCTCGGGAACGTGTGGAGCTATTCTGCTTCTTTGTTTTCTAGAGTTTTGTCAATCGATGCTTGTAAAAAAAATCACCCTGTTTAAGCACTCTGTGCAATAAAAGAAACACACATGTTTTTCCATAGATTGTTGCGCAAAAACGGCTTTGACGATTCTCAGGAAACTGTCCTGTTATCTTCTACTTAAAGTGCTCTTAGTTAATTCCCGAAAAAAATAATTAAGAAAAAAAATCTTTTCGGCTTAAGTCACAAAGCATACATTTTATGGTAAAATTTATGTGTTATGTTTTCAAACGCTATTGAATTCCCTACTAAACAAAAACAAAATTATCAATGATACAGCTTGTTCTATTTTATAAATACTTACCGTTGCTAATTAGTGTTGCCCAAATGCTAGACTGATATTAGTCTTGCAAACTCAATTTTGGTCTAGGTTTTGGATTTGCGCAAGAGTCGCAACAGTCTTGCAGATACTTATTAGCTTATTTCAATAGAGATATTACTGTAATTCTTTATCCAAAAGTATATTGGTTCTACCAATTCTCTACATATAGTAACTAAAATTGTAAGTATTAGTACCTATTTTGCCTTAATTTTTATTTAAAAAATCGATTTTTGGTCTGGACTGAACAATCAGTCTTGGTCTTAGTCTTGCAACAGTCTTGGCCCAAGACCTATTTTGGACCACACTACTGCTAGTTAACGAAAGTATTTTAATTGGGTTAAATTTCCGATGTGTGGTTTTCAATGTATCTTTGCGTTTCAGAGCTAGGTAGGCCCTCGAGTCCAAAAAACACATTTTTGAAATGTTATTTAACTTCCAACAAAACTAAAAAAAATCGTATATTCTTCCAAATCGGACTAGATTTAGGAAAAGTGTGCATTGAGTTTTATCCACTGATTTTTTATGCTATTCACCAAAGAAATCGTACTCCAATCATTTCTCTGATCAAATATTCAATAAAATTAATGTAATTAAATTTTTATTCTAATGGATATATTTAAAGTTGCGTGAATTCGGTAGGAAAGTCGTGTGACCTGAGACACTTGATATTTTCTGCATATTTTAGTAATTTTATAAATACGATATATTTTAAAGGGGCTGTAACAGAATAAATCGCAAAATATATTACAGACTCCTTTTCAGACACGTCAAGCCTGTTTTATGATCAATTGTTCAAAAAATTTACAGCCCTCCAAGTTACGAGATGACTGCGGGAGATTCCGCATTGGAAGATAAATCGTGAGCTCGTCGTGAAGCAGAAATCTTCGCCAAAGATCACCTCCAGGCCGCAGCGTATTTATACTTCCAGCTACTGACTATGTATGCCTCTCTCGATATATCAACTTCATCCTCCCTTCTCGTAGATAAATATTATCTATTATTTATCTGTAATGACGGCATCGCGCCTGTATATTCCAGCTCTCTGACTCCTTTACCATTAAGACCTTGATATATTTCTTGTAGTTATGAAGACATAAGATAAGACAATGTTTAATTTACTGTGTTGCATTGTTTAAAGTTGTTTACATCAATGGTTTTCTATATAAGTATTTATACATCAGTAAGATTAGACATTGTATCAATTTTATTAGAAATATTTGTAATTACCTAAAATGGAATATTCTCCCAACCAAAGATGAGGAATACGCTGATGAACCGATTCAAAGTTGTACTCTAATTACTGAATGAGTGAGGGAAGTTTTTTTTAAAATTAAATTTATATTTGCAATAAGACTTTGAGGCAAGGGCAGTATCTGTCCATCATCCTCGGGTCCATCATCCTCGGGATCGCCTAAACAATAGTTCAATTGTTGGAGTGTTACCAATGGATATGTTCTCTACTAGTCTGGTCATGCCATTATTTGTTTTTTCTGTTTACTGTTACTTATTAGGGGTATTCATGCAACCATACCACTAAGTGTTGTAAACTTCTTAAATGTGTAAAATCGAGAAAATTATTTACGAAATATATGTTATTATGGCCGCTAGCATTCTCGATTTTAACGCAGCCTAGGGTCCTGTAAGGTTTGATGTGTTTGATTCTTTGTTCTTTTTTTGTGTAAAATATCCATAGAGATTGAATGTAAAGACAGCTAGAATTTCATAAATGTATTCATTAAGCTCTTTGCCTTATTTATCATCTGAACCTTCATTCAAGCTTTCTAAAAGCATTTTTTTTTCCATTAAATTTG